CAAATGGGCGGGCTCGTCCGGGTAAGTACCACGACCTCACAGAAGACCGGCGTAAAGTGGAAGTATAATACTTTCGCGTTTCGTCTGGTGAGTAAGGTGGCCGGAGACTCGGGTGTAGCAGATGTCCATGGGCGGCGGTATTCACTTAACATCAGGTGAACCGTCTGCTCGCTTGGCAACTTTTCACGTAAAAAAAAACAAAATGACTGATCCATAACGTGTTAATGGTTTACCTCAATTTTACAAATCAGCCTGTTAATTTAGTTTAAGGGCTTAATTCTCTAATGGTACGTTAATTTCGTAACAGGCCATTAATTTTCAGTTAAGGTAATTGAAACGTAACCAAGTTAAATTAAAAGCAAATAAGTTGAATTCAATTGCATAGAGTGAACAATATTTTCAATTGGGAGCATAAAGTGAATACGGAATGTATTTTACTACTGAAGAAAGTATATATAAATGTCCCACAGCTGGGCAAAGGCCTTGTCTGTACAGAGGGCATTCCACTGGACACCACGCGACCCCACTGCGGATTGGTGGACTATACATATCTTCGATATATTTTTTTTGTTATCATTACGAAAATATGCAGGTTTCCTCACGATGTTTTCCTTCACCGCTCCGACCACGTTATAGGTCAGCACTTAAAATTAATAATTTTATTGGTGTTGGCACCGGCGATCGAACTCAGGTTGCTTGAATATATTGAATTAAAATCGAGCGCTCGGACAATGAGCTATTTACTACATTTAAAACCATTTTCTCCTGTAATATTATGCGCCGAATAAATATTTCTTTCTTCAAATGCAGCAGCGTGTTTAAGACTGATAAGACGTTGGCGGTACAAAAGCCAAAGGTTAAGACTAAGTTTACAATAAACGTTAAAGATAAATTAATGAAGTATATTTAAAAGTTAGTAATCAGTTTTAAATTGGCATTGTATGTTTTTAATATAGGAAAATAATTTAGATTTTAGATCTAGTAACACAACAATGTACAGGCTCAATAACTAACACAATATATGACAATACAGGGAACACTTTCTACGCGCCAGGTCATTATTAAATAAAAGCTTTCAGCAATTAAGAATTAATTATGGTATAAGTTGAGTGTAGGAGTCGTCACGGAATGTTAGCGTTGTGAAGGACTTAAATATTTATTATTAAAGTAAACGAGACTCAAAAATTACCACCAATTAAGATCGTTGAAGCTGACTTTAGCGGCATAGAATTTATTGAAAACTAATATTTTTTGTTACTACCAAAATAATAATAAAGGAATGGATATTATCTAATCGTGTGTCGGTCAGTCTCCATAGCGTTTGCGTTATTAGTCCAACACGCTATTTAATGTAATGCATAGAAACGATACTTAAATCTCCAGAGTCATTGTAACATTCGTTTGATGGTAACTGGTTGTTAAATCGTGTCGCTTTGTTTCTGCTCCACGGGTTATAAATAAACATGTGTTTGTTTAGGCCCCTTGGTAATTATGGATAAGCAAACGGTGCCTTGGTAAGGCTAAGTTACGTGGAACTGCGTCCTAAGCGGAGTCAACATCGACCATCTTTCAAACGGAACCTCGCTTTTGGTGAATAATATAAATTGTTAAGAAACGAATTGTGTTTTAACCTGGGTTTAACGTTAACTGTGTACAGGTATCAATCTCTGATTTTCAACCTTATTTTTTAATAAAATTTATTGTTAAAAATGTTGAATGTTTAACTTCGCTACGTTTAGAGCTTTCTCCGATTACGCCTTTATTCGATGATGTCTAATAGTGGCTGAATCAATAATGATTCATCAGTGCTTAATGGCATATTGTTGAAGCCAGTTTTATTGGCTTTATTTTGTGCCTGTACTGCAGTATTAGTTATTTAGTAAATTAGTTAATCTTGTTACTGAAGTAGGATCACGTAACAGCACTTCGACTGTTCTGTTCCGTTGTACAGTCACAGAACACCCCAGTGAAGGGGAATTTTTTTGTTTTGAGTTTCGCCTGGTGAGTGAGGTATCCAGATCTCCCTTTTTTATAGGCTGGCAACGCGTCTGGAAATCAACGTGTGTTGTAGGCCAATCATTTAAAACCTTGTCCTGTCTGCTTAACGAAAATACGTGATCTACGCAGTATTGGATCTAAATGTATTATGTAGACCACAGGGTCTATTTCTTTATTTAAAAAATTTTTGCACAATTTAGGTGTACGAGTCAATCGAAAAGTAAAGAGAAAAAATAAAAAAAAGTGTGAGAGATTTTAAAATTTTGGTTCATTATTTAAATTATTGTTGGTACGCAACTATTTTATATAGCGTTCATTAATCAACAATATTTTCAATTGTTGGCTCGAATCCACAAGCAAAAACAATTAAACGTACATTTTTATACAAAATATAATAACATTAGCATATTGGCTTGAATTGTGAAACATTTAACTTGAATCAGAGGACATCCTCCTTTTGTTCAACAAAAAGGGCTAGGTGGCAGCCTCGATTAAAAAAAATAACACGTGGGTGTTTTAATGCTCTCTCAAATTCCTACGGGTCGTTTCGTTTCCGTTATTAACGCAACCGTTTGGTTCGGTCTGTGAATATCTACGATTTGTTGACGGATAAGAAAATTAACATAGATTGAGATTGCTCGAAGCTCGCCATTAGTTTCCTTACATTGTGTTAGTAATGTTTAATGTTTGGTGTTTGTAACTTCAGCTTGCTTCTAGCACTTACAAACTTGTTAACGTTGATATCATAAAAAAGTTGTATTATATTTAGGAACATGAACTTTAACTACGTTCGCATGCGTGAATTTCTATTACAAATTGAAAAAAAGAGAAATCAGATTTTCGAAAACTTATGTATCCTTTTAGATAAATGGAGTATTTTTTAATGAAATAACGAGGTTATAGTTCGTTACTGTTTATTTACTTGCATTGGCGCAAGTAACAAGTTCCCTAATCACTACGTCGATTAGGTAGTCTATTAATATTATAAATATGACCAATCCGTAAAGGTTCCATGGCTTCGTAGAAGACCCGCTTAAAATAGAAGTTTTTATGCTCTTACACTGCACTTGGCGACTAAGGTAACAGCTTCTCCTACTCTCATTGATTGGCAACGCAACTGAAAACCCATGGATGGATTGACGTCCATACACGGTACTCGTTCAGCAAATAACAATGATGTTATATACGGAAGTTTCAAGGAGATTCATTCGGGTAACAATCCCGTTCTCGTTTGCCACCCTCTTTAGCACACGAAAAGTGCACGCACGTGTACTTTACTCTGTAACGTTCATCACGTGTACGCATCATGTGGTCGTACTTCGACAATGTGAATAGGCAACGGTTGCCAAGTGTAAATAACACCTAACACTTCGACAGTGTCGTGTACCGTTCGAGTGGGATCTTTGGTATGTGACGTCCCTGACTGCGCATTAATGAGCTGGCAATGTTTACCGACTGGTCGCTTGAAGCACCCGTCCATTCATGAATAACTCGACCCCGTTGCGGCCCTCTGCACGACTCCCATCAACAGTAACGACTCAATAAACTGCACGCAATACCTTATATTCTAAATATTATACATTCCATTACTACCCATTCAAGTGTTATCTAAATATTAGTGTCTACTAATCGTCCTTCAAGCTCTACGAAGTGAGTACGGTACGGTATTATTTCACGAATTGCAGAAAGAGTAATGCGTACTTTTAACAGTTTTGATAAGTACTTAATGAGGATTTATTTAATTAATAATGAACCACATTTGTTGTTTCTCTACTTCAATGCTAGAAATGTTTCCTATGATGTGTCAGATTTTACACACACATGAAAATGCAGTAACAAAATACATTCAGACTATGAACACTTACATAAAAAGTTTTGCCCCGTGTGAAGATTCAAACCAAACAGCGTGTATTGAAATATCAAAGCAACTTGTAACTGTCAATCATAAATAGAAGCGAGTGTGTTCTTTACACATAAAACGCACAATAAATTACTTAAAACGAATCTCTCGGTACAACTAGAAATCTCATTTTCGGCAGCATATTAATGAATAAAATTTGAAATATATTATGTGTTTGTAACATTAGAATCCTTTAAAGAATACACAATTAACTTAAACAAAATTACAATTACGAAATTTAATAAAGATTAAGTTTAATAGTCCTTTGTGATTCGTGGGAAAAGTCATTTGCTTTACGCCATATATTAGAGTTAAACGCGCGCGCAAGCCCCTCTACGCACCAAACACTAAATTAGCATTAAATGATGGCTCAATTTTACGAAGAACTCTAATCTATTCGTCTTTTTTGTGCTATAAGATGCACCGACTTTACGTTAACTATAGTGCTATACAATATATTTGTTTATCTGTGTAGCTACATATGTATATTTTTTGTTGATTTTTTTTATGTGAACGTCTTGATTCATTGAAGACGTTCAAAGTAAAAAAGCAATTTAAAAGTGTTTTAATTGAATCTCTCTTAAAAAACCGGTAAGGCTTAAACATATTTACTTTTACCTAATTGCTAGAGACAGTTCAAAACTTAAGATACATCAAAAATCATTAAATTTTGGTACTGCAACAGATATTTATATACCACCTACAGCGCTGTGCCAATTTATGGTGACATAAAAAATAGTACTATTTTCGAACTTCAAAATGGCGCGCTTTTACTGTCAATAAATAAAAAGATTCACAACGCTCAAACAGCGACAGGACACGTATACAAATAGTCGAGTGTGCGTAGATAAAATCTCAATAACTAATTGAATTTAAACATATCTATCGGGCGAGTTATCTGTGCGCAACGCGGAGTTATGTATCGGCGTCGGCCGCCAGATAATCGGAGACGGGGGAATGTTTTAATTAGGTTAATGATTGAATTCAGCCCTTTGCTCGGCGCGTTACGTCACGCGCGCCGCGGCTGACTCCGGGGCCTTTTATAACGCGACGATATGACCACGACTAATTAACGAGCGTCTAAGCAGACGCTATATAGCAAATGTGCCGACAAGTCCAACCACTTATCCAAACAGAAGCTAGACAGGTGATTGGATATCAGATTTATATAATTTTCAACATTTATTCCTTGTTCATATTTTCACTACATCCAACATATATTCGTACGTTCTTGTATATGCTCGTATAATGTTATAATTTTTTAACATCTGTGGCTACAGATGTAAGTATTTGTAAGGTTTGCCATTGGACGGAGTATAAATAAGCTAAATGAAAAAGATAAAATTTGTCTGCCCTCGTCTTTTCCTCCGACTATAATGTATTTTGAAGGCTAGTTTGAATATGCTTTTCTTATTTGAGACAATGGCAAGCGAGCGGTTGCATCATAATATAATGTAAAGTTTATAATTTTTTGTTATTATTACCAATGAATCTTGGTGGACATCTACAACAAACAAGAGACATTGCAGATACGTTGCCAGCATTAGATGGAGATTGAAAGAGTTTATTTAGTTTAAGAGTTATTCAGGTACTTTACAAACTACTTAAGGTTGGTTACTCCAGGACGAACGTTGAATGAGTTAATGCATTCACGATCATCAATCAGATAACCAGGTGGGATAAATATATACTAGCTATATCGTAATAAACATGAAACCATTACACTTCTGCGTTTCGTCTGGGGAGTGAGGTAGATGACCGATCGATTAAAACTCGTCTAAAAAGTACGTAACATAGCATTTGTAGCATCAACAAACTATCAATGCGCATAATCACTGAAATTTCACGTGGATAGCGATAAACAAACATCCGTCAATCACGCCTCAGGCGCTCCGCCATTTTCCCGAGCAGCGTCCGCACGACTCCGGTTCACCTATCAATAGCGTGCGGCGTAATTTCGCCGAGATTGCCGTTCACCGTAAGCGGCCCCTATCCGCGAGGTCTAGCCGTATCTCGGGTCATTTTCGAGAGGTGCCGGCTCGTCAAAAAAGTGGACGGTTCAGCCGAAGCCCGCATCTGCTTCGTTATCATGGCGGAGCCTCCTTAGCTTAGGGGTAGGACGCCGTGAAGTATTTGGGTAGTTCGTTTCGTTTTTTTTTACGTGAAGAGGTGGCAGGCGAGCTGGCGGTTCCCCTGATGGTAAGTGACAACTACCGCCAACCTCACTCACCACGCCGGTCTCTCGTGAGGTCGAGAACTTACCTGAACGGACTTGCCCATTCGTGCAACAGCGAAGACTGTTGCGTGGCCGTACCACCGTAACTTCATCCAGCGGTTGGATATTTGTCCTGATTGTGGCAGTTTCGTTCGTTTCGTTGCCGTAATGTTCATAACTGTAGGTAGTACCTACAGTTTTGAACATTGGTTTGATATCCTAACCCTTTCGAACGAGCACTAGACAGTTCATTTACGCTTCACGAATATCGTTCCCGTCGCGTTGCCGTCAGGTCGTCGTGGAGCTTTTTACAGCGGCGGATGCTCTTTAGGTCCCGAGTTCCTTGCCGCTGACGCGGCCGTTTGCGCCACTTTCGCGGCCGGCCGATAGCTTTTAAAACCGATCACGTCGGCCCCGCAACAAAAATGGCGATTAGGCCGTTTGAATTATGGTTAACCGTGTATTCCGCGTACAGCATACTGTCCGGCAATTAAGCGTGATCCGCAAAGGCTTTTAATTTTTAAAAGCGTACCCAATGAGGTGATTGAATTTCGTACGTTTTTTCCTTTTTCTTCTTTTTTCAAAGCATTCGAAAATTCTTTATTTTTAAATTTGATTTCATCATACAACAAAAGTATTATCTATGGTATGAGTACTATCTACAGTATATATACCGCCTTATTGATTCTTCCTTATAAGTTCTTTTGTTACATTTTTTATATTTTTATGGTGTACGATAAAGCATATATAATAATATATATGGAACCTCTTAGTACTCTTTAAATAATACAATTGTAGAATTTGTTAGAGAGCAGAATGCGTGGCAAACATTATTATTTTCTTCATTACTGTTCTCTATTATGTAAAACTTGGCATCGAGTATGAAAAAATTTAAGCTAATGACAAAACCACATGGTGAAGAATTACTTCGGCTTACTTTTTGCATTCCGAACATATAACCCATCTACCATCACAGTCTATGGGAAAGTTATTCCTGGAATGAACGATAAGAGAGTACTTCCTTCGATATTGCCATCTCGTTCCGACCTGAGGTTTTTCCCTTTTGGAAAAGAGATGGCCTGTCTCATGGAATGTTCCATACTTTACAATTTTATTATTCATCGAAAGTTTCAAAGAGATTTGTTGCATGTAACTTTTTTTTGATAATTATGTCATTTGTGAAACAATTAGCTCGACGTTAGTAAAAAGCATTACCATGCTTATTATAAATGATTTCGCTATATTGAATTAAGTTTCTTACTGCAGTCGCTACTTAATATCTAAACGCCACTTGGCAATATAAAAACTATGTTGTATTATAATATTTTTATGAGGTGTAGCCAACTAAACATTATTCGGCATGAGTCTTAAACAGGTTTCGAGAGATTTCGTATCTCGTTTGAATGCTTCATACAAAAAGGCTTGACAATTATGTATATTGTTACACAAGTGTTTTTATTTAAATCATCAGTTTAGTAAATTACAGTCTTTCTGTGGGACAAGCTCATATTGGTCTGATCTCTACTATTATATAACTCGACTGCTTGAAGGAGATCACTTTGAGGTGTTTATTAGCATTTTAATAAATATTTAAACTTTATTGTAGTATATTTTAAAAAAAACAATTATTTATTAATCCTTTAATTCTAAAGTAAAAATAGATTTTTCAATATTTTGGCATTGTTTCAATTAGCAACATTATCATAAACTTTTGAAACAATAAATGGTGTATCGTCATATTTTTTTAACTAGTTTATAAAGACTCGTATAAAATGTTAGGATAAAAATATAAATCTTCTTGTTATATTATTATATAAAATTTGTAAATTTTAATCTTAAAAGCGCAAAAATGTTATGATTAATGTCTATTACTGCTACAAATTTATTATTAGCGTTATACTTTAACCAATCACCCCATTATTTCTATATAACAAACGAAACGGTAACATCGCTAACCCGGCAAGAGAAAGTGAACATTAGGCTTCTACACAACTTATAGACCGAGCTTCTTTTTAAATAAGTCGGTTTTTACTTACACGACCGTAATTTTGGTCGTTAATAATGTCTGAGTAAAGCCACTTCAAGTTCTGCAAATTTACGGTATACTTACAGAAAAGTAACTATCCTTTTTTAACGTACTGTTCACACTGTTGTTAAAAAGGGATGAAAGATCAGCGCCCGAGTCTTGCTAGCGGGACATCGACCAGCAGCTTTCAGAAAAAACTACATTTGAAGCTAGCAGCCTTGCAACTCGAAAGCTTATTTTATTTTATTATTTTCTCAAATGATATTGTCCCTTATAACATCATTGTAATGTAATCTGTAATAACTAGTCATTAAAACTAGGAGCTGTAGTAGCTTTACCTTCAATTAACGATGTAACGATTTCCTAAGCGCTCGTGATTTTCTACAAATTTTAACATTAAGTTCGTTTTCGTACATAGATTTTGTTGTATAACACCTAAGAAATACGATTCTTCTTAAACGGTCAAACATATTGAAAGACGAATAAAGCCTTTAGAAGTTGCAACGCATCGCCACTAAGGTTACTTGCCCTGTGGACATCGACAAAAACCGTGCAGCCTGCGCGCGGCTGTGTGCGTCAGCTACGTAGACGTGCGCGCACACACGCGCGCGCGCATACCGACCGCGCGAGCGCCGGAGAAACCGTGCGTTTTGCATTCAAGCCTCAGTTGTAAAGCAACTTTTAGGGTCATCAAACGCTTTATAGCGACCCTCTATAACTTCACGCGTCAAATTACATTGATTTGTGTATCAACGTCGCACCGCAGTGTCTCGAGTTCGTATTCGTTTGGATTCAGTGGTATCAAACGGAATATCTTCGAGTGTTCGCCGCGAGTTGTCACTGTGCGCGTACTTCGTCATACTTCGGTATCGACGTGTAAATTCTGGTTAAGTTGCAGCAGTAAGGTTTCAAGCCTGTGTTGGTTAAGTGAAACTATGGTTGGCTCGTGAGGTGAGGTCGCTGTGCCGTCTGTTAGTTAGTTCAATGTTGGATATGGAAGGAATGCTCTGGAGGTGAAAAATGTGGAAGAATATTTTCTACGTGAAATCTGTTAGGAAAAAGCGGATTGCTAAATAGGTGAGTCCTAAAAACATAAAGCATTTTCATTTTCTTCGCCGATAGTAAGTCCAAGATTAATGTGTTAAGTATTTATGATTGAAAGAAATGTTTAAATGAGTATCTAGAGTGGTATGATTATACCCGTACATTTAAGAGATTGCTACTTAACATTTATTTTAAGGAAATTCACGTAAAGCATTTGGAGAGTGACATCCACAAAATAGGTAAACATATTTTTTTATCTCTACGAAATTTTTCTATTATGAATTTTGATAAAATTGTTTGTGGAATTCTAGTTGCAAAATAAAAACTATGTTAAATACAACTAAAGCCTAATTCATTGATTAATTGCAATATTACGTTAATTGTCTACGTGGTAATGTATTTCAGTAAAGTTCAGTTAAAACACTTTAGTACTCTCCTTATTAATTTTTCATATTATTAGTGAAAGTATAAATTTCACTAATTTTAAAAGGTGAATTCGTGTAGTATATAAAATTATAACAATATAAAACCTATATTTAACATTATATACATACATATAAAACATTACAGTTACATGTAAAAAACACCTTAAAACGTGCTGCATTAAGAGCTTTTTTAGTAAGCCGTTTTCATTTCTCATGACAAAGTTGGATATTGTCATTTCTATACATATCAACTTTTGAATTCAGTACTCATATGATGGATAGACGTGTGTAGATAGATTTGGTGCCTAGCGATAGTTATTTGACATTAGCACCATAATACTTAAGTCAAGAATCTCTCAACGGTAACCAAATCTATCGGTAGATATAATATTGAAACCGGCTGTAATACGGTTGCTGTTAGCTAATTAAGATGACAAAACTCCAATGGGTTCACGGATGGAAGATGTCAAAGGATATTATTGTACCTGTAGATACTTGTTTAGTATTAATATTAAACTACTTCATTTTAATAACACATTTAAGTGCAGAAATATTTTAAAAATCTATGTTAAAACGCACAGACAATTTATTGGAAGCATTTTCTGTGGAAGTTTGTTCTGCCACTACGAATAGAACTAATTTTGTGAATATAATTGGTCAAGTTTCTTTATGTTTTTATACACAGATAAGTGGAAACTTTATAGTAAATGGCCTTTGTAAAACAGAAGTGATATAAAAGAATGTCTAATCCATTTTTAAAAATATTGTGCGCCGACAGCCTGAGAATATGGCACAGTTGAAGTTTATATACAGAGGAGAAAGTTAATGTAAAATTTGTTTTAAAAACATGACATTAGAGAAAACACTGTTGTTCTTCATATTGTTAAACACATTAATGTTTTCGTCAAAAGTTTTGATATGTTCAAATTAATATGTGTAGGATAAGAAAAACACTTAATTACACAATTTATTGGATAACAGTTAATTTTTGACTACAGGGCGATCTTTATTACACCATTCATTTTGTAGAAGTTTTGTACAATCGGTAACCCTTGATTTGTTATCGTATTTTCTAGCATTAAATTACAAAGTATAGGTCATTCGAGCTCGGGAAAAACATTTGAATTTTATAGTTAGTGTAGTTTTTATCTGTTTTGAATATTTTTCGATAGAAGGGTACAGCAGGGCTACTCCCGACAGATTCGAGTTCTGAATCAATGGATTTTGACTCGAATTCATGACAGTTCGTGCCATCTGACGCCAGTGCACAATCGAGTGATGGCTCTAATTGGAATTAACTAAATTCGAATAATTTTTAGGGAAAAAAATAACCTATTAACATGCTATCTAAAAAAACGTTATAACGGTGAACATGGAACATTTGTCTGTGACGTAATAGGCCGGATACAGTTAAAGGATTTGATAAAACACGATCTTATTTCTAGTTTCGATTCGGTTCGGGAGTAAGCTTTTCAAAACGACTTCGAATCAAGAGTGAGTTCGAATCGAAAACAAAAACAAATTCGAATCGAATTTGGGGAGTAAGACGGCAGATCTACTATGTTACTATAGTTCATGCCCATCCGTTCTCGATACACAGAAATGTGTTTAGAATGCTAATAAATGTTTAATGTCGTATATAGAATGCTAATGTATGTAGAAACAAGACGGGTGAGTTGTCACTTATAAAGACCAAGACGGATAGTCTTAGGACGAAATTTCAGTCTCACGTAATAATCATAAAAACATTTGCTGTTAATTTACGAGACGTTCCTATTTTTAGATGTACGCAATGACACCATGTTTTTTAATCAAGAAATAAAAATGAGAATTTATATACGCTTTCAAAAGTCATTTCATTAAGCAATTAGTGCTTTGCTTTATTATGCAAA